ATATTCCATTGAATAGTGTCAAGCAAAGAGCAAAATATTTCTAGTACTACACCACCTCAAGGCTGAAGATTAAAATGCAGGGGTGGTAAACCAGTGATGGTGAATTTTAAAAGAAACTGAAAACACATGGATCATAAGATTGAAAAGCAACCAGACTCGCCTGGAGCGCGCGGGAAAGGCGGGCGGAGCACTTTGGAGCTCACGGGGCGCACAGCTGAAAGCTAGCCCTGCTCTGCTCCGCGCGGCTCTCGGAGGTGGAGGCGGTGGTGGGAGGCAGGGCTGAGCCAGCGTCCGGGCTCCGGGGCTCCGGGCCAGGTGGTTGCACCTCCTGAGTGCGGCGCCTCTCCCCGCCACTGTCCCGGCCGGGCCACCTCTGTCATGGCTCTGGCGGACAGCACACGTGGATTACCCGGCGGGGGCGGGGGCGGGGGCGGGGCGGCAGCGGCTCCTCGTGGTCCTCCGAGGAGCCGCAGCTCTTCCCCGACATCGTGGAGCTGAACGTGGGGTGCCAGGTGTGCGTGACCCGGTGCTGCACGGTGGTGTCGGTGCCCGACTCGCTGCTCTGGCGCATGTTCACGCAGCAGCAGCCGCAGGAGCTGGCCCGGGACAGCAAAGGCTGCTTCTTTCTGGACTGAGACGGCCTCCTCTTCTGCTACATCCTGGATTGCCTGCGGGACTTGCAGCTCGTGCTGCCCGACTACTTCCCTGAGCGCAGCGGCTGCAGCGTGAGGCCGAGTACTTCGAGCTGCCGGAGCTCGTGCGCCGCCTCCGGGCGCCCCAGCAGCCCGGCCCTGGGCCGCCGCCTCCGCCCTCGCGGCGCGGAGTGACAAGGAGGTCTTGCTGGGTGAGGAGCTGCTGCAGCTCGGCTACGCGGAGCCCGAGCAGCAGGAGGGCGCCTCTGCCGGGGCGCCGTCGCCCACGCTGGAGCTGGCTAGCGCAGTGCGTCCGGGGCGCGGCGGGCCCGCTGCTCAGCAGTCCCAGTCGCTGGACGGCAGCCGGCGCTCTGGCTACAGCGGCTCCTACACCATCGGGCGGACGCCAAGTTGCGGTGAGCGGCGCGCATCACCGTGTGCGGCAAGACGTCGCTGGACAAGGAGGTGTTTGGGGACACCCTGAGTGAAAGCCCGGACCCTGACCGTCCCCCGGAGCGCTACACCTCGCGCTCTTACCTCAAGTTCAACTTCCCGGAGTAGGCCTTCGACAAGCTGTCCGAGTCGGGTTTCCACAGGGTGGCGTGCAGCTCCACGGGCACCTGCGCCTTTGCCAGCAGCACCAACCAGAGCGAGGACACGATCTGGACTAGCTACACCGAGTACATCTTCTGCAGGGAGTGAGCGCCCCAGACACCTTCGCGACTCCAGCACCCACTCCCCTTCTTGCCCCCACTTCTTTTCCCCTGGTTGCCCCCCTCTTCCAATCTCCCCCCTCCACTAGTAGCTGGGCGATACCTGACCGCCCACCCTCCCTCCACTTCAGAACCTGCAGCCGCAAATCCTCTCGGCTTCTTCGTTTGCTTTGGACGTCCTCAACCGAGAGAACCCAGAGAAACCCCCACCCCACCCCCACCTCCCACTCCTTGCCTCAAACCACCCATCCCCCAGATGGTACCTCAGTCTGGATCTGGTGGGGCAGTGTGGCCACAGAGCCACCAAGTACCTGGGAATGATTGAATTGTTCAGAACCTGATTGGACCGTGTCCAGTGTGTGGAAGATTCCTTGAAATCTTCTCAAGCCCTTATGACTCATTGGGGGTTTAAGAGATCAGGATTGGTTACACCGAGGTGAGTGTTTTACAAGGTCATTACACAGTCTTTTTGGCCTCTTTTGAAGGTAGAGTTTTAGAAGGCTGGATGGAAGATTCTGAAGCTGAAATTAGGACCCCGTGCAGGCAGTTCAGTAATTGTAAATGAATGAAGTTTTGAAAAGTTACAAGTAAAGTAGAAGAATTTAGCGCTGGCACAGTAAAGGATCCTTTCTCGTACAGAATAAAAGGTCTCCGCCTGTGGCTTAAACTTACAGAAAGTGATCCTCCTGGCTGCAGAGGCCTCCTTTTCTAGCTGCTGCTCGCCAGAAGCCCTTGATTCCACTGGCTGTCATGGCAGCAGCTAATGGCAAGAGGGAGAAAGGATGCCGCCGATTAAGCTTGCAAGGCTGCTCAGGTCTCCACGCGCTGTAGGAGGTCACCTGACAAGTGCCCAGTGTAGGGAGCTGGAGCTGGGCAGTGAGTGCACATCAGTCGTGGGTGTTAGGAAAGCCTGTATTCTTGCAGTGAACGCCAGTAGGACCTTCCTTTAGCTGTAAAACTTGGCGGGTGGGGTGGGGTGGGGAGGGAGGAAAGGGTAGGAAGAGTGGGAAGGGAGAAGCAGACATACGCATTTATGATTTGAAAGTTGGAAGTTCGTACCATCTGTTTGAGTACATGCACATTTTAAAAATATCATATAGTAAATGCAAACATGCCAAGCATTTTATAAAGATTAATAACAGACCTACACTTAACTGGCAGTTTATCGAACTTACTGTTTTGAGTCCTAAACTTAGAGTTGTTAATGCTTATATATAATCTAACCAAAGACTTACCCAGTAGGGTTTTAGTTTTTGAACTTTTATTTTCTTGTTGATTATAAATCTTGATTTTAAAATCTGTTTACTTGAGCAAAAGAAGTTTCATTTTGGTTACTTAGACCCAAGATCACTTATTAAAAGTCATTATTTTCTCCAAGCCCAGCAAACATTGACTTCTGGGCAAACCTAAAACCCAAAAATGCCACTTTCATACAGTTTGTTTGAAGTTAAGTGGAATCTTTTCAAATGACAGAGCTGCAGAGAACTCCAACACCAAGGGCTGCATAGCTGTAAAATGGAATTTTTTTTTTTTTTTTTTCTTTTTTGAGACGGAGTTTCGCTCTTGTTACCCAGGCTGGAGTGCAATGGCACGATCTTGGCTCACCGCAACCTTCACCTCCTGGGTTCAGGCAATTCTCCTGCCTCAGCCTCCTGAGTAGCTGGGACTACAGGCACGCGCAACCATGCCCAACTAATTTTTTGTATTTTTAGTAGAGACGGGGTTTCACCATGTTGACCAGGATGGTCTCGATCTCCTGACCTCGTGATCCACCCGCCTCGGCCTCCCAAAGTGCTGGGATTACAGGCGTGAGCCACCGCGCCCGGCAAAATGGAATATTTTTAAATGAAGGCAAATAAGTACTTAAAAGTGAGCTGAGCAATAAAATGACGTTTTAGGTAAATGCAACAGAAATGGAAGGAGACCTGGTTGCCTTATGCCTTTACTCTTACATGGAATAAATTCCTAGTGCATATCCTATGTACACCGTAGGTGAAGGGAAATAAACCTCATTATGCTTCATGCTGTGAGGTGTCCTCTGGATATTCTGTGATGACAGAGAAGTCTATTTTGTTTTGTTTTCAGCATCTTTCTCTAATGTATGTTTTTAAGGATTTTGTAAGAGCTGTTTTCAGTGTTTAAATTAGTGCTATTTTTCCTTGTTTTTAAAAATGAATCTCCTGCTGTATCTTACTATGTCCATATAGATATTACAAATTGGAACAGTTTTGTTCTTAGACTCATGTGATCCAAGCTGTATATACCATATATAAACATTTTACACGAATCATTTAGTTTTTTAATTCATTTACTAATGCTATAAAATTTCCTATATTTACCCCAGTAACTTGCATCAGCTGGTATGTATACTAAAGCAACATGTTTTTGATGAGTTTCTTATAACCATATCTATGGAGAAATTGGGTTAGGAAAAAATGCATAATTGTAAAACTGAGTTTGTTCTATACGTTTTTTCTTGAGTATTGTATTACTAATCATATGTTGATTTACTGTCTACTTAAAATCAAGGTACCTGTATTTTTAATCCATTAATTTTTTTTAGTTGGGAAATAGAAAGATTTTAAGTCTTTTATTAAACTAACATTTTTTGAGAAGTAAAGTTGACTTTATTTACAAAGCCTATAGTTTTAAGGGAAATGGAAGCAGAAACCTAGGAAGTCATGTTTGGTTATATGTTGAATTTGGTCTCAGACTAAGTCATGCATCAGAATTTATCTGTTTGAAGCCTGAAATAATTTAGGACTTATTCAGTGACCAAAAGTGAATGTTACAGAGATTTCTCTACCCCGTATGGCATTTTGTTAGATTGTTCAACAGGAAGCACATGATTGAGAACATCTTGGGACAGATCAAAACCACTGACAGATGGCAAGACTTGGCAATTCTGATTTCCCTTCTCAAATCTGCTCAACTCCAGGAGTCTTGAGAAACTGCTAAAACTTTGTCTCTGTCACTCAAGTCTTGCGAATGTTATCTTGTAGAGCTTTGAGTTGAACTATTCCACTGTCTTGTACATACGCACCTTACTCACTCCACCTTGTCACACCCAGCACCCCCTACATTATTTGAAAGACTGAGAACTTAATGGTGAGGGGCAGTAAATCTACTTCTTTTTTTCCAGGGATGATTGTCCCCTCTAAAGTTAAAGTCAATACAAGAAAACTGTCTATTTTTAGCCCAAAGTAAAGGCTGTGAAGAAAATTCATTTTACATTGGTTAGAAGGTATAAACAGGTAAAATAACTTGACATGAGCACCTTTAGATCCCTTCACCTCCATGGGCTTTGGGCCACAGAATGAAACTTTGAGGCTTGTAAAGTGGATTGTAATCCCCTATAAACTTGAATGGAGGTATTGGGGGTTCATTTGCATAAGCCCTCCAAAGATACTATTCAAATAACCTGGAGTATGTCATAAATTATTCAGATAATTATCACTGCATGAATCTGACTCAGAGGCATGCGTTTACATATGTTGCCCTAATTACTATTTGATGGTCATAAATACAAGTGAATGACATTAGACTTTTAGTAACAAAAATTTTTAAAAATGAGTAAACAATGGTGGTTACAGAAAAAAAAAAAACGGGTACCATGTTTATGTGATTGCGCTAAGTAATTGACATGTTTGTTTTGTAATACATGTGGACAATGAACAGTATTCATTCTAATTTTTCAAATGATATGCTGTAGAAAATATTCCTTGAAGATGTGAGATTTGAAGTTTTTTCCCTTTCAATGTTGTTTTTGTTGTGTTTCTTATTTTTTGATTGATAGCACAATGATAAATTATAATACTAGATGAAATTGTCTTCTCTTTCAAACCAGAGCCATATATATGTGTGTATACATGGGGCCTGCTGCTTCTCTGAGGAAATGCATAATCTGTGAATACTCAGACAAAATGAGCAATCGGCAGTGCTCATAATATATTCCAATTTTTATTGGAATTTTCCATGGAAAGTTATTATTTCAGTAAAGCCATGTAAGGTGAAACTTGGATAACTTTTTACTCTTCAAGTTAGGGGAAATTCTGATCCAATATTCAAATCATTTGTGTACTCCCACATGTAAAATGCTAAATGGCAATGCAGACATTAAGAAAAGTATTGACTGGAGGAGTTGAATTCTGTGAGAATTTCTTTTATAGTCTAAATCACAATATTTTACTCAATTTAGTTTTTAAAATAGTAAACAATATTTTTGTTGTAAACATATCAGAGTCAGTTCTTTGTTTGGAATTTTTTTCCTTACTATAAGCCATTTAAAAACGGAATTAATTTTCTTAGATGGCCTAAGCCTGTCTCTTGAGAAAGAAGTAAAATACTCTTATTTTCAGTATCTGTAGCACCTGATATAAGTTTTTGTGTACCCTGAAACAAGTTATGTTGAAGTTAGCTTTTCTTTGTCATAGTTTTGGACAATAAAAATCTAAAAGTATTAACACTTGATCCTCTACTGGGGCCCTTGAAACTTGGATGGAAGAAATTCAACAGAATATCTGCATTAGAGTATACTCATGTGTGGTAGGAAGATGGACTAGTTGATCAAGATTTGTTGTCACTTACATATTTTGTGATTTTTTTCCAAGCCAGTTTTTTAATATTCTAATTGTGTTTTGAAATATGTGTATTACACTAATTGTAATGTAAACTATTATACAACTGTTTTTGCTCTTTATAGTCAGGTAAATTTTCCTATTGCTATTGAATACAAATGACCATTTATGACCTCTCAAACAGCGTTAAGTGACCACTCAAACAGCTTGTAAGTAACCATTTAGTGACAAAGTATTAAAACATCCATCATGGATGTTAACTTTGAAGATGTAAATTATATAGTGTTTAAATTTTTCCAGGTATCTGAAAACCTTATCTGCTATACAATGTAAGATTCACACAGAGTTATCTGGGATTCTGAAATTTTAAGTAGTACATATCATTAAGCCATTTTCTCTAAATGTAATAAGAGAAGAAAAGAATTGTTATAAGATTATCAGATTTTTCTAATGACACAGAAATGTAAGAAAAAATCCCTTTATATTGAAAAAAGATGAAGTCTTTTCCGCCATGCCCAAACTTTGAGACTTTCTTCAACCATCTAATGCTGTAAAGGTTTTTGTTCTCCTGTTCACAACCAGTTGTATAACAGGAATACTAGATACTGTTTTCCTTCCTGTGTGTGAAGTAATGAATCATTGATTATGTGACTTGTTATGTATTCAATTAAACACTAAAGAATAAAATATTCACTCCTTTAATTATTTAAAAAGAAAAAAAGAAAAAAGAAAAGCAACCAAATGATGACCACATTCAGCTATGGGGAATCCTCAAGGGGATCTGAGTGGAATGAGAAATGGATGGGACCAATTAGTGTATTTGGCTTCCTGAAGGTTTTATTCCTTCTCTTTCCTCGACTCTCTCTCTTTCTCTTTTAATTCTTAAGAATTTAGGCCTCATGGCTTCATCTTTGAGCTCTGTGTTAATTTGAATATGGCAAAAATAGAACAGGAAGTCAGTGAGTTTCACTAAATGTTATCCCCAAGCACAATACCTTTAGCATGTCACTGGCTTCTGACTTTTGGGGAATCCTGTTCCCAATGAGCACATCTGTGTCCCACCTCCCACCACATCAATGTCAGTTTCTTCTCCGGCATTATAACCATGGGAATTTTCATCAGCAATTCTCCGAAGTCATAAATTTATCTGACCTTGATGGCTAGCTCATCCGTCACGGACATTAAATTCAAATTAAACCGCCTTTCAATGTCAGAGAGAGTTTGCAATGGAGAGAAAAGCACTGCTGGATTGAAAAACAGAGAATGACGAAGCTGCTTCTTTCTTTTGTATCTGAAATAGATCATGACCGTCAAAAACTCTCTGCCTCTCATGGGCTCTCTGGTGTGTGTAAGGCACTTCCTCTGCCTATAAGAAAAAAAAAAAGCCAATTCTGAAGATACTGGAGTACAGATATTTTCGTTGGCTCTTAATGCTGCCTGGGAGTCAAAGCCTAAGACTGCCAAAAAAACAAGTGTAAAATATTTCATACAAATAGTGCTACAATTTGCCAATTTGTAGGCAGAAAACAGTAGTGCCACTGAGTTATCACTCCCTTTTCTGAACTCTTATAGCATTTCTTGTTGGAATCACATATTTTGGTGTTTAATCACATGCTGCCTTGAATTACAGCTTAACTGTTTCATAAGTCTATCTCAGTTCTCCCCAAGTAAGCTCTAAGCTCCTAAAAGAAGGAAGAAGTTCTTTAATATTTCTTTAGCAAATCCTTCAGTGTCTGGTAGCATGATATGCAAATACTACAGTTTCAATAAATATTTTTGAATGAAAGGATGAAGTATGAAATCTCTATAGGTCTTTTCCATTGCTGATTTTTCTTTCTGGAGTTTTGATTCATGTCTGACTCCTTATTCCAAAGAGACTATTTTTTAAATTAAGCTAAAAGTTTCAATTTGGGGACCAAATTAGGGGGTGAGGTTTTCATTTTATTTTTTGAAAAAAAAAGAGAGAGAAAAGAAAATATATAATGAAGCTTTCATTTTTAAAATTCTGCATAAGGTGAAAACACAATCTAACCATGTTAAGCAACTAAACATAAATTCCTTGTTTTTATTAAAAAAAAGCCCATCACCTCTGAACTCCTATTCCTTGCCTCTCACCAGTAAAAATAAAAAATAAAAAAATAAAAAGCAAACTATGACACCAAGTGTGTATAACCAGATGGCCAGGCAACAACAGTATCTTATTACTTCTCAAATACTGCAGATTATAAAATCGTGACAGCCTATTACTCATACATTCACATTTCTTACAGAGTAGATCTTATAGCTCCCATATTTTAGTAAACAAAGCTAGTTACTCTGAAATAATTCCTTTTGAAAGCTATCACTCTAATGCCTGCGTATCAACAAGAGTAATGGTCAAGTGCATAAACACTTGAGCCACACCCTAATTAAATTAAAATCTCATTGTCACACAGGACTCTTAGTGAGGCTGATTCTTCAGTGTTACACTCTCAGGCTGATTTCTTAATATGACTTCATTTCAATTTCTTCAGGTCAAGAATTGGAGGAAAATTGGATTTGGATAAGAATTCTGGAGAAACTGGTAGAGATATGTTTGCTTTCTTGACTTAATATTACTTTTTCTCCATCGTCTATGGAGGATCTATCCCAAAGTCCTTAGACTCCCGTCAGTATTTTATTGTTCTCGTCCTTGTTTCCAGTTAGAGCTAATGCTTGCATGCTAAAGCCTGCAGCAGGCAGACACAGGCCTACTTGCAAATTGGAAAACAGAACCTGCCCAAATGCAAAGAAAAGACTGCCTGAAGAAAAAACAATCTCCCAAACCAAAAAGATAATTTTAAAAGACTTCCCTTATGTGAAAAACACTGTATGTAGCAACAATTCAGTCAATGAAACTATTTAAGAAGGCTGTTCGGGTTAGTTTGCTATAAAATCTGCTGTAGAGCTTAACGTATTCAAGATAATACTAGAGTTTCATATTGCTGTTCAACTACGTACGTATGTGACTGCCCCCTCCCTCACCCCCAACAGATTTTTAAAAAAGGTTCCAACCCTATTCCTGCACCAAGTCATAAACAGGAAGGTCCCAGACACTTGTTTCTAAGTTCACTGTTTGAAACTCAGAAAGTCTTTCTATACAGTGGGTTTGCTTCCTGGGTTCAGAGAAGCATGTGTAATGCATAATATCCCTGAATAATTACCTCACCACACACTGGCATGGAAGGAACATTACTCTGTCCCAGGCTCTGTTGGGAGTGTTTAGTTAGTTCTCACAACAACCTCCCTCTACTCAGATGAAACAGAAGCTCAGAGAAGCACAGTAACATACCAAGGCCACACAGCCACTATGTGGCAGAAGTCTGATTTCAGAGCCCACAAACTTGATCACCTGGCTGCATGCCTTCCTGTAGATCCTAACCAACACTTAATAAAGGACATTCATAGTTCCTCCTGGCTTCCCGGGACCTCAACCAGTGGTTGGAGGGTGGGGCTGGGACAGGATGAGGACACAGGCATGGGGACCCCAGGAACATAGAAAAAAGAAGGTAAGGCAGAGACTGTAGGATGAAGAGGGTAGCAAGGATTTGGGGAAAACACAGAAGTGGGGATTCTGAGAGGTCTTGAATTTTCCTCTGCAACACAACCACACAACTTGTGAGAGGTTAAAATTCCAGGTGGCCCTGGACTTAGAAATCTATTCCACTCCCCCAAAAATTTTCTTGCAAACCATCTGTTTCTAACATAAAAAGCATTCCTTCCCATAGAAATAATGTTATAAACAGTGATTAGGTTTCCAGGTTAGCCCACAAAACCTACTTATTCATAATGTAACTTTACTACTATATATTTGCAATAAAGAATAGCAGAAAACAACGGGATTGCAGCCATTTGCACTATATAGCAGTTTTCTTCTTTACTTATTTGTGTTTCTGCTCAGCTGGTAGTCTGGGAACAATGCCCAGCTGGATCGACTTTTAAATTAATTATTACTGTATCGTATTTATACAGCATTTCTATTTTTTTTAAATGGGCATGGCTTAAATTATTAATTGTTTTCATGCCAACATAAAAAACAGGGAGGCCCACCTCTGAAAAGGAGCTGAAGTTTCCAAGCAGGTGAAATACCTATGGGCTGGGCCAGGGAACCTTGCGAAGCTGACTCTATTAGGCTAGAATCTTGCAGTAAAAATTTACCACTTATTCAACCTTGAAATAGAAACTCTGAACTCAGAAATGTAACTGCTACTTCCTGCCACTCAAATGTCATCAGTATCCTCTAATCTAATTGTTCACCAAGAGCAGAGAGTCCCTGAAGTAATCTGATAACTACACATCAGGTAAGTGGCCTGAATATGGGGGTTAGTGTGAACTGTTCCAAAAATTTTATATTGGTATAATATCAGAAAGCTTTTAACAAGGAAACAATCCAGTTTCTCTCTCTCCCAGGAAGCAGGAGACAGCATGCATGCTGGGGGAGGGCTTTGCTATAAGAGCATGTCAAAGTCTTTTGCTAAGTGATCTGAAACAGATGTCTGCATTTTTTAGGAAAGGCACAGAGCCCAGTGGAGGGGCCAGGTGGTCTCCAGAATCAGGAGATGTTCATTTCAGTTGCCAGTCCACGAGATGAAGGAACCAAAGTCTACTGAATAGAAGAGAATAGGAAACCTGCAAACTGAACGCCACATGAAAGGCCTCCAGAGTCTTTAAGAGGGGAATGCCAAAACACAAGACCAAAATAACTTGCTGGAAAAGCTGAAAAACTGGATCTTCATCACTGGAGCTGAAAGTCAATCTACATGATAAAATATGCTAATAACAGAGACAATTTAGAAGATTTTTTTTTAAAGCAATAACATCTAACATGCCAGGCAATGTCTTTTCACATGATTTGACTGATTTATTATTCACAACAAACTTCGAAGTAGCTGCAATAATGGTCCCTGCTTCACAGACGTAGAAAACTGAGGCATAGATGGTTCCATATTGCTTTCCTAAGGTCACAGAGATAGTAAGTAGAGGAGCTGCCATACTAAGTCAGGCAGTGTAGCCTCAAAGCCTGTGGTCTCATCAGCTACCTATATTGCCTCTCAGAATAGCTAATAGTGACTGAGCCCAACTGCCTTAGTCTGTTTTGTGTTGCTATAATAGAATACCGCAGACTGGGTAATTTATAAAGAAAAGACATTTATTTTTTACAGTTCTGGAGGCTGGAGAGTCCAAGATTGAGGGGCCTACATCTGGCGAGGGCCTTATTGCTGCATATTCCACCATGGCGGGAGGTGAGAAAGCAAGAGAGGGCACATGTCCATGAACGAGAGAAAGAGACTGAATTTGCAGCTAGAAGTTCTTCTATAATTGGCATTATTCCATTCACAAAGGCAGAATCTTCACAACCCAAACACCCCTCATTAGGTCCCACCTTTCAACAGAGTTCCACTGGGGATTAAATTCCCAACACATGCTTTTCAGGTGACATTTTCAAACCATAGCACCTTCCTAGTCCCCATAAGCCAGGCACTTTTTCTGGGGATTTCTGGAAATTAGTGTGGGGAGTAGAGAAGTTCATTTTTAAAGTTTCCTTTCTTGTTAAAGAATAAGTGTGCTAATAACTTTGTTGAGCCCTATCCTATGTCACTGTTAGACATGCCATGCTTACAGGCACATAGTACACTCTATGTACTTGTACTATAACCAAGATATCTGTGCTGGACCTGCTCACAGGCATGTGACAGCTCTCCATTGTTTTTACCTTTTTAGAAAAGTTTTAAGTTGTTAGCCAATCGGGTTTTAGTTTAGATTGTGAGGTCTGGCTCCAGCCAACAGTGATCAGACACAGCAGTAAGGACAACCCCAAATGCGTAAGAAATAAATGCGTGTGTATTCCTTTGTTCTTTGCACTTTCATGGCACGATGCCTACCAGAAGTACCCTTTCTGTGGTTCAGGAAGTAAAACTTGCATTGCTGAAAGATCTTTTGTCTCAGTGCTAATTTTTCTTTGCAGCACCGAGCATCTATTTCCAACATATTTCCAACAACTAGTAATCCTCACAACCAGCCCATGAAGCAGGTGTTATTGTTACCACCTCCACGTCAGCGGTTGAGAAACGGAGGTGCAGAGAGGTCAGACAGCATGGTGTCTGGCATTGGCATCTATCTTTTACTACTACACCAAATTGCTCAAAAATTTTAAAGGCTTCCAGGGTAGTGACATAACAAATGCCAACATCATAGTAAGTAGATTCTCCCAAGACATGGCCATATAGGAAAATATAAGTTTTACTCTATTTCTCAGCATTTTTCAAACTATGTTCCTGTAGTTGTTCTGGGTGTTAATATTAAAGTAGAGTTCTATTGCCAAGAAGCTTGGGAAACACTAGTTAAATCAAATTAAACAAGTCTCTCTGCTGCAGGACTTCTCAGAGCCTTGAAGATGCCACTGTGCTTTGCAACTTCCCCATACAAGAATGAATGATATACCATCTTCCAGCTTTTTTGTTGAAGGATGTTCTGAGGGATGAGAAATTCTAGTCATACACATTGGGAACCATTACCCAGCCTTGTTTAATGAGTAATAATCCACATGGTGGATCAAATTCGAAAGCTTTGTGCCTATTTTGGCTAATTTGGGTAACTTTTGTACCCAACTGATCATGGCCTATTAATTCTTTTATTTTTTTTTTAGACAGATAAAGTAAACTTTATATTTTAAGATGAATGCAGATTCACATGGCCTATTAATTCTAAGGATTCTCTACAACCCGTGCTTACCTCTCATCTCTCACCTGGGTTCCTGCAGCAGCCAAATGAGGTCTCCCCATTCCCACTTCTTGTTGACTTCTTGTCAACCTCCACACCAACATGTGGGTTACTCTTATGCACAGAGCTGATGATGTCACTCCCTGCTTAAAAATCTCTCATGACACCCTTTCTCCCATACCAGACTCTCCTGTCTACATGCCTTTTATCACCTGGAGCCTGCAACACGATTCCATGCTCATCTCTGACCCCGACACTGTGATCTAGCCCTGCCTTTCTCTCTGAACTCATGCCTAGGTAAGATTGGTTGATGAGTCAGTCCCTGTATCTAGACTGCAGGCTCCTAAACTGTACACATCCCTGATATCTATTCCACAGTGCCTCGTGGAAAGCAGGCATCTGATAAACACATGCAGGGCAAACAGGCCAGGCCCTCCTGAGTGTGTACTGTTCTCAGTGCCCTGGATGCCCCAGGGTCTGACACACTTGGTGAAATCACATTCCTTGTTCAAGGGCTATTCCAGCATCCTCCTCTATGATGTTTGCTCAGACTCCAGGCAAAGCAGTCACTCCCTCCTCTGTGTCCCCATGACATTTACACATGCTCCTAGTCTATACACCATACTGCATTAGTTGCTGATTGCCTGTCTCTCCAATTAGACTGTATATCCCCCAAAGGAAAAGGTGCCACCTTGGCACCCTCAGGCCCTAGGACCACACCTGGCATTCATTCTAGAAATGTTAACAGAGAGCCCATCAGATGACAAAACACTCCCCTGGCACTGTGGACACTTCAATAGATAAGCCAGTTAAGTTTCTTTTCTTATTGAGCTTACAGTCTAGAGAGGCACACAGAGAAAAACCAAATAAACAGACAGTCATTTAAAATAATTTCAAATTGAGGCATGTCTTCTACAGAAACCAAAGATATAGTAGAAAGGAACCTACTTTAGATGGGCTAGTCAAGAAAGATGGCATTTCAGCTCAGCATTCAAGGATGAGAACCATGTAGTCAGGTCAAGAGTAGTGGGAAGAGGCCCGGTACTGGTGGCTCATGCCTGTAATCCCAGCACTTTGGGAGGTCAGATCACTTGAGGCCAGTAGCTCAAAGACCATCCTGGATGACCTGGTGAAACCCTGTCTCTAATAAAAATACAAAAAGCTAGCTGGGCAAGGTGGTGCACGGCTGTAATCCCAGCTACTTGGGAGGCTGAGACATGAGAATTGCTAGAATCGGAGGCAGGGCTTGCACTAAGCTGAGATCATGTGACTACATTCCAGCCTGTGTGACGGAGCAAGACTCTGTCTCATACACACATACAAAAAAATAGTGGAAAGAGCATTCTAGGCAGAAGGAACAGCATGTGAAAAGTATCTGAGTGCACTTAAAGCATAGTCTCTGCAAGGAACTGATGAAATAGACCAGCTTGGCGAGAACTTAGTGAAGGAAGGTGCATAGTGGTTGTACCGTTTGCAAGGCAGTGACCTCGAGCAAGCCACATGCCCTCTCTGTGTCACAGGCTTTCCATTTGCAGAAATGCAAATAATAGTTTTCACCTGATGAAGCTGGGAGAAAAATGTACATCTGTTCTAAGAGTTTACAATAATGTCTCAATAAATGTTAGTTGTTATTATTATATGGGCAAATGGAACAGAGAATTTAGGCAAAAACTTGAATGACATAAGCCAAAGACAAATGGTGGTGATGGGAAAAGGATCTGGGCAATGAAGCTGACCAGAGGACTTCTGGCACTGCTCACACACCAGCTCAATGCCCAACATGCCCTTTCCACATGAGGAGGCAGCCACAGTTCGAGGCTTTTTAGAAGATTCTTAATCACAACTCTCTTTCCTCCCAAATGCGAAAGGGTTCTTTGGAGTCCTTTCATGCCTTTAGTACCAGCTATTGAGCGTTTTGCAAGGTGTACTGAAATTATTCCCACACTCACCTGTGAGCTTCTCCAGGGCAGACCTTCATTCATCTTTGTTTCCCCCAGGGCCTAGTACAGGACCTGGCCCATGACTGCGATTCAACAAAAGGTGGCTGAATTGGATTAAGAAGGACATTTTAAAATAACTAAATTCTGG